CACACACACACACACACACACACTGTCACCTTTAACTCAGACTTGTTAATTTCCTGCAGACTCGTCTAAACCTTGACCTCCCTGTTTCCCTGTTCTCCAGCAGAGATGCTGCTGATGTATGGACTCACAGTTAAAATGTCTGTCTGGTTCTCACATCTCTCGAGGTTCGTTCATCTTATTGGCTTCACACTTGGCGTGTGTAGGTGTGTAGGTGTGTAGGTGTGTAGGTGGGACTCATCAAGAAGTGAGTGAGGATGTTGATCACAACAACTGATCCTCCAGTTCAAGTTGAAGTTCTGGTCTTCGAAGAACCCGGTGAACAGATCCTCGTCCTGCAGCAGCTTCACTTCAGTTCTGTGGAGTGAGTCCAGCAGCTGCTCTCTGAGTTGTTGACTCGTCAGTTGAGCCTTTCACACACACATCAGCATTTATTCTTGCACATGAAACATTTTCTCGCTACAACGTTGGTTTGAATTTACAAATGAACTGATTCGAGGTCAAAGGTGACGTCTGTGATGTGAGAGACGTGGTTCCTCTTGTCTCTCACCCGCAGGCTGGACGTGCTTCTCCCTGTGCTGCTGTGTTCCATCTGTGTCCTCATCCTGCCGGCGTCCTCCACCTCCCACGACTCCGGTATGCACCCTCACTTCACCACAGCCACCATCCGACCCTGACATCCAGGAGAGGACTCCATCAAATCAAATGTGACCTTTGACATTGATTGATTTATTCATTTCATCTCATTGTTTAGTCGTAACAGAGTGAGAGGTGTAACAGATGACATCACAACATATAGAATGCATGACAAATGTTTTCAGTGACAGTCGAGCTATAATATCTTTTTACTGACCAACAACAATTTATGTGTGTGTACATATGTCTTGAAAAGTCGCCTGTTACCTCAAAGCTGCCTCTCTTCAGATGATTCAAAGCTTCTCCACGTGACCATCCCCACCTCCCCATCGGTGTTAGCCGTGCTGGGTGGCTCTCTGACGCTACCCTGCCTGGTGTCCCTGGCCCACCCTCCGCCATCCCCCTCCACCAACGGCCGCCACGCTGTGCTCTCTCTCCCCCGGGTTAAATGGAGCGTGCTGACTCACGGCCGTGACACGGAGATCCTGGTGGCCCGGGGGGACAGGGTGAGAGTCAGCGAGGCTTACAAAGACCGAGCCTCACTGCTCAACTATGCCTACTCCCCCGCCGACCTCACCCTGCGGCTGGAAAGCCTGAGGCCGAATGACACGGGCTTCTACCGCTGCGAGGTGCAGCAGGGCCTGGAGGACGCTGACGACGTGGCTCACGTCAAGGTCAAAGGTCAGAATCAGACAGAAATGTTTTTTCCACCACATCAAAATAATCTGTAAGTGTTCTATATTGAGTGAATAAAGTTTATACAAATCAAATTGGATTGAGTCATGATTGAGATGCTTTATTTAAAATAAATACATAGACGTCATATCATTGTTCTCAAGTTGTTCTCATGCCGGACCTCGATGTGGGTTTCACAGGGGTAGTGTTCCATTATCGCGACGCCTCCAGCCGCTACGCCTTCACCTTCGAGCTGGCCAAAGAGGCCTGTGAGGAGATCGGAGCTGAAATCGCCACGCCGGAGCAGCTCCTGGCCGCCTACCACAGCGGATACGAGCAGTGTGATGCAGGCTGGCTCTCGGACGGCTCAGTAAGGTGAGGACCCCAGGGAAACTGGTTTATTGTTAAATTGGAGAAACAAGTGATATCCTGTGAAAATCCTCCTTTTCAGGTTCCATATGTTTTGAAATGGATCATCAAGTCTCGTCTGATCCTGACCCAAAACATTTCAGCCCCTCAGACGAGAGCTCAGACAAGTGATGGTGTGAGTGCTGCTGTTACAGAGGAAGTACTTGGCGTCTCACTGTCATTTCCTTCTGCAGATATCCCATTCAGATGCCGAGAGAGGGCTGTTTTGGGGACATGGATGGACTTCCAGGAGTGAGGAACTATGGACTGGTCGAGCCTGATGAGCTGTATGACACCTACTGCTATGTGGAGAACATCGAGGGTGAGAAAAAACTCAAATTCATTTTACATCCTGTGAATTATGTTTTGTAGTTTTGTTCGTTTCCTGTCTGTCGGAATGAGATGAGATGTTCAGATGCAATAATATCAGTTCATATTTACATTTTTTTAAATGCTGCTAAAAAAAAGCTTTTGACTTCGTTCCCAACGCCAGTGGAGGAGTTTGTCTTTCTGTTTTTTAAAGTAGGTTCACCTCCTCGATGCCTTCACCACAGATCAGAGCTGTTCAAACCGGTTTCCACTGCAGAGTCAGTTAACCCACGACTGAATACAGATTGAGTCCATTTGCAGACAAAAGTCAGATGTTAGGGGATTTTTTTGAGCACAGATATGAATCTTGAAGATCATTAAAACCTACAACGTGTATCCTCATGCACAGGTGACGTGATCCATGGCTCCGCCCCCCAGCGTTTCACCTTCTGGGAGGCCAAGGCCTTCTGTCTGAGTCTCGGGGCGGAGCTGGCCACCACAGCTCAGCTATATGCAGCCTGGAATGATGGACTGAACCACTGCAGTCCAGGTTGGCTGGCAGACGGCAGCGTGCGCTACCCCATCGTCACCCCTAGAGAGCGCTGTGGAGGCGGTGAACCTGGGGTCAGAACCGTTTATCGCTACAGCAACCAGACAGGCTTCCCCGAGGCTCACACACGACATGATGTCTACTGCTTCAGAAGTAAGAGAGCGAGCTGTTCTGGAACAGTCGACTTCTTCGTATCTATGATACTTGATTTCACTGGAAACATTGAGCTGAACAGTTGCGTTGACTATATTTCCCAGATTCTGCCGCTCAACACTAAAAGTAACATTTCTGTTCTTTATTCCAGGGGACACGGGCCCTTATACTGAATCTACTCAGGATTTTCTTGCTACCGAGCCAGAGGACCTTGTTTTCTTAGCTAACCGTGGTCAGGAGACAGTGACTCTTGAGGTGACAGCAGAGGTGAACGAAGACATGCACCATGCCCACACGCTCAGTCCTGTAAAACAGGTCCCTGTGGAGGCTCAGTCCCAAACCCTGTGTTACGAGAAGAAGCCACTGCTCACAGTCGACCTCCATCCGTCCGTCACTCCTCAGCCCGAGCATCAACAGCACGCTCCCACCAAAGATACCTGGGAGCCCGTCGAAAAGGCCGAATACCCAGAGTCCCATCAACCAGCACCGGACCAAACCCCACAGACTGATCATGAAGAGTCTCATTCTCCTTCAAATGCTGTCGACATAATAACAACTGGTGACGACTCCACTTTAGCCACAGCTGATGGGACGATGTCAGTGAGCAGAGAGCCCTCGGAGACTTCAGAGATTAACCAAGAGAATCAAACCCTGGATACACGAAGTGTTACTGCAACATCTGGAGATGTTGCAAAGGAGCTGCTCAACAATTCAACAGTCCTGCACCAGCAGAGTGAGCCTCCAATGTATCAAGAGGACCACACTCCGTCTGTCCACTTGGAACGTATCGCTGAGACTGAGCTGGTCCACTCGAGCACCTCTCCGCAAGAGACTGGCCCCGGTGACGCTGAGGAGGAATCAGCAGTGACTACTTCACGCTACGCTGAGGAAACAGAAGTTCACTCCACTGCACCTGTGACCCAGGGTGGAGACGAGAGCGCTCCTCTGGAGGAGGAGACGCAAGACCCAGTAACTCAGAGTGTGATTGGCATGGACACCTCCGCCATTTCTGAACCGGTGCCTACGACTGATTCAGGTAAGCGAACATTGAAGTGAGGATGTTACACAGAACTTTCATCGTGTTGTGGTTCCAGTGTCTGGGATATTTTTCAGGTCTTATTGCTCGTGATGCTGTGAGGGTCAACTTTACCAAAACAGAGACACGAGCAATGACAGTAACTGTTTGGAAGAGTCGGCAGACATCTTAGGAAGACATCTTAGGAAGACATCTTAGGAAGAC